ATAGGCACTGCCACCAATTGAGCATTTGTTTAAAAACTCTTTCACTTCTTGCAGAACTGTATTCATGTAATTCAAAGTGTTGTGCCTCCCTTCTTTACCACCTCTTTGGAATGTCAAAACTACGGTCTTGTCAGTATTTACTGTTAGACCTTTTCCATGGCAAAATTTTCTAGGATCTGGAGTTTGTCCATCTCTCCAGGTGTCAATAGTGTTTTAAAGTACTTTAAAATTTAATGAACAATCTTTGCTAAAAACCTCATAGTTTTTGAGATATTATTAAAAACTAAAAAATATCAGTTTCTGCACTTCCCTCTTACTAGTCCTTTGGGACTTTTTACTAGTTATTATGGAGAGGGTGATAAAGGATTTCGGACAAGTTTCTTCTTTATTTTTTTAATTTTGGGGTTATTTTTTGCTTTGCTTTACTGGGCTATTTGTTGTGAGAGATGGAAAGCGAACATGTGGTGTTGTTTTCCATGTTATCCGAATATACGATGTTTTTCGGTTTTCGACACTATTAATATGTTCGTATACCATACTCTCTTCCAAAAAGCTAAGAAATCATATTAAAAGTTTTGGGAAAATAAGTTTTTTGTACTTTAGATGTGAAGAACGTACATTACAAGTTACTTATTCTAGATTCTGACAAAGATTAAGCCGTAGTTGAAGCTTCCGGAAAGTTGTATCACTTTCTTTGTATTACGTTTGGATTTGCAAACGTGGTAGATTGCCTTGAGTGATTTGCCCTATAGTACAGAAAGAAAATCTGGAAGGCACTGTCCCTTATTTGTATGATGTGACAGTATTTGGTAAAAAGCATGAAGAACACGGCAACAACATTAAAAAAAAAAAAAAAAATGAGTCTACATGACTGACCCATTTGCCGAAAGTTATGATCATTTCGTTCATCTTATGGTTATTCAGTAGCACGTCAATTTATTACTTTGATAAGATCACAGTAGTCATAATTTTACATCAAAATACTTAGTTGCTTACTTATCTCCGGTGTTCCAACGTGGGATAACTCTTCAGGTCAGAGCAGAGCTACAAACATCTCTATCCTCCCAGTCACCCTCCTATAGACCTCGGCCGGCCATCTCTTTCGAGAATCCTTCCATCCATGTGGTTCTCGGTCGTCCTCGCCTACTCTTTCCGGGTGGCTGCCATTTCAGGACTCTGTTCGGCCAATGCTCTTCCGGCATTCTCCTGCAGTGCCCATACCACTTCAATCGCCATTTCCCGATCCTCTCAGAGACGGTCTTCTCTACACCTATTCTCTGTCTCACCACTTCATTTCGGACTCTGTCCAGCCTCGTTAATTGTAGACACCTTCTCCAAAAATCTATTTCTACAGTCCGGATTTTGGCATACAAGCCATCATTCATCGACCATGCCTCACATCTGTAGGTTAATATGGACTCGACAATAGCCGTGAATATACGCCGCTTCTTCGCGTTTGAAATAGTGTCGTTCCAGAGAACAGGATGCAGCATTCTAGTAGCTTTTCTTGCCATCTCTACATGTTTCGGAAATCCACTTCGGACGTTCCAACATCATCCAGATAGGACCCGAGGTATTTAAATGCCTTTAATCTTCTGCATACCTGCTCACCTATGTGTAGATCGTCTTCCTCATCTCCCAGTGTCATATACTCAGTCTTTTGGAAGTTTATCCTGAGACCTGCCTCTTCGCAAACTTTCTTTAATTGGAGAACCACCATCTCCAGGAAAACTTTCTTCCGGGCCATCACTACTTGATCGTCTGCAAAGAACAGGGAATGAGCTAGTCGTCGTCAAAGTAAACTCCGTAGTCTCGATTTCGTCTCATCCATTTCTTCACTAAATCATCTAAGTATATATTGAAAATGCTTGGAGCGTACAACACCCCTGCTTCAGCCCTTTGGTTCTAGAAAATGGTTCCGAGAGGCGGTTCCCAATCTTCACTCTGTACAGATCGCTTCCATACAAGTGATGAATTGCTTGTTCCGTGGATTCATTAATACTCGCTCTTCTCAGTGCTGGCCATATTCTTTCCCTAGGAACACTGTCACATGCCTGCTCCAAATCAATGAAGGCTAGATGAAGCTCTCTATTCTTCGCCCTGCATTTCTCAATGAGCTGCCGGAGTACAAACCGGTAGTAAACCAGTTTGTACCACCGGTGTGGTGTACTCTCCCTCAAGCTTATCCCGGACAAGTCTCCCGACAATCCTGCTTTCTGAGCTCTGTACACAGATGCCGCGATAATTCTGGCATTGCTTCCTATCTCCTTTTTTAAAGATGGAGCAGAGGTATCCTGTTCGGAGATCATCAGGTAGATCACACCCTTTCAGGACCACGTTCGTCACATTGGTAAGGAGTGTAAGCATCTTATCTCCGCCGGCCTTTAAAAGTTCCATATTTAAAAGGTCCTGTAGCTTTTCCTCTTTTAGCTCTGCCTATAGCAGCCCTCACTTCTTTTTCCGTTACTTGCATATGGTCCGTCTTGCATTCTTCCTGTGCGTTGCCCTCTTGTGCCATAAACTTCGCTCTACTTTTGTAAGGAAGGTCTCATAATGCTTTTTCCATGTGTCCTCATTGATAGGAGAAATAACATTGCCCTTACGTGGTGCCCTCAAGCTCCTCAAAATATTCCAAGCTTCTCTCACTCGATTGAAGCCCAGTGTCCCATCTATTTTCTGGCAGCATCTCTCCCAGAAGTTATTCTTCTCCTTCACAACTTCCTCCTTTACACGTTTATTCAGGGCTCTGTAGGCAATCCAGTCCTGGTTTCTGTTTGATTCTAGGTACTTCTTATGTACTTCTTTTTTGGCCTCCACCAAATCCGAGACCTCCTCAGACCACCAATCTGGTTGTTTTTTAATACCCTAACATACCCATCATACCCTAACGCCTCCGTGGCAGCGTGAATTCACTCCCTTAAGTGTTCATATTTTTCCGAAAGATTGCTTCCCCGGCTCAGATCTATTTTATCCTCTAGTCTGCTTCTGTATAACTCTCCAACACTGTCCTCCGTAAGGAAATATAGTTTGTACTTTGGTAAGGTGATACTCTCTGCTTTGCAGCGTCCCTCTTTTAGACCCCGTACACCTTTCCACGGGAAAAGAATCTTGGTCCGGGGCATAAAGTGATCAGTTCCACATTCCCAACCCCTGAACACTCTCACATCTTCCACTTTACAACTTGATTATTTTCTGGTGATACGGTAACCCAGTATAGACGATTGGAATCCAAGCTTACTCCATGTGAATTGGTGTATGGGCTTGTGCTGAAAGAATGTGTTCTGAATCTGCAAATCGAACGCTTCGCAAACATCGATGAGCCCCTTTCCGTTGTCTGTAATCCCACTCGTGCATTGAAATCCTCAAGAATGATGACTTCGTCGCTCCCATTTATCTTCTCCAGCACGAGCCTGAAATCCTCTTCGAATTCAACCTTCACTTGCGGGGGTTCACTATTACCAGGACCGTAGATGCCTATGACTGCGATCTTTCTGCCAAAAGTATCCATATCTACACGGATAATCCTTTCTGATTTTTCCTCACAATATGCGATTTTTTCTTTTTTTACATCTGCCTTGGCTCGCACATCTCTTCCCACACCACTCCAGATATGCACATATTCACCTGATATCTCTTGTCCCTTTCCTTTCAATTTGGTCTCTGTGAGTACGACCAGATCCAATCCTGCTCTCTCCAGTTCTTTCCGCACCTGAGATTTTTTGTTGGTGAAGCTCTGAATATTCCAAGTACCAAAATGAAAAGCCCTTTTCCGTTTCCAAAGTCTGCTTCCGTTATGACTATCTAAATCCGAGGCTCTTTTCTGACTACTCGTAGCAAGAAGAGTTTTACGTCAATGAGCTGCTGACCCAAATGACAATCCCCAACCTGGAGGACCAGAGGTTTTCTGTCGGGGTCTCTTTTTAGGTTTTCTGTCGAGGTCTCTTTTTAGGTTTTCTGTCGAAGTCCCTCTCCTAGGTGTTCCCGCTGTGATGGGGGAGTGGTTGTGCATATTTAGAGGCGGCCCACACTCGCCTCGTTACAGTTGCCATCTTAGGGCTCTCTGGAGTATTTTTGAGGATGGCCGCACCACTAACCACCCTCCCCCGCCCTGTTGGCGCCTGCCGCTCATGGTCCGGGAGTGCAAGTCCCCTATCCACCACCTGTGGTCCCGCCTGGTCCTCTGAGCTCGGGGTCTCCCACATTAGGATGGCAGGACATCAAAATATATTTTTAAAAAAAGACTTTTTTTAGATTGAATTCGTCAGAATCCATATATTTTATTCATTAGAACAGCATTAAATTAAATTTAAAAAGTAGTAATGTTTTCAATTTAGTTAAAATAAAGAGGTAAATTTTAATGATAAAGTAGTTGATAGTTAAAAAATATCAAATTTATCTTGTACTCTTAATGCTTAGCACGATATAACATTGTAGAACAGTTATATATTATATATATATATATATATATATATATATATATATATATATATATATATATATATATATATATATATATTATGCTTCAGCGTTAACGTAAATAATATAATTAGTAAATTACAGCGTTTAATGCTTTCCTAATTTTTAAAAAAACATTTTCTTAAAAACACCTCATTTAAATTCTATTTTTTTGTCGACTGTTTTTGACTGTCTTTTAATGTAATTGCTACTGTTTGTATAAAATATTCAAAATATTCCGTGGGTAAGCAATTTTTGTTTTTATTCTATAATTCAGTATCCATTACAATTGTAAAACTATTGTCATTCATAAAATATCTTAGTTAAATAACTTTCAATGTGTGTGTTTACCTGTCTATTTCTCTAATTAATCAAAGAAAATAATCTATTTAGAATGTGAAAAATCATATTAATTGTTATTTAAACAGAAACATTTACATAGTCGTGAAAGAATGTTATTCTTGTTAATAATCATTAAGAAACAAAAATTATCTTTGATGTTGTGATATTTTTTCATAGCCGTTCGTTGTTTTGATTATATTTGTACACTATCAATGATATGGGCTTAATATTGGTTAAACGTAATGAAGTATAAACATACATGCACTGCTTGCCTATACTGGCTAGCAGTGAGGAACAGTTGGCAGCTTGTTTCTCTTAACAATATCAGTACGGCCATTATTGTCTAACTTATTTGTCGGTTTTCTGTGAGCGATTTAATTTTCCCAAAATTATATCTATTTTGGTTTGATTGTGTAATATGGCTGAATCGGACAAATTAAACATAGATAATATAATCGCAAGGTTGTTAGAAGGTACTGTACATATGAAGGCTTTTCGTGATATATCGTTGTATCTGTGAAATTTTTACTATCATTTGTGTTTTAGTCCGTGGTGCTCGTCCAGGAAAAAATGTTCAACTTACTGAAAGCGAGATCAGAGGTTTGTGTCTCAAATCAAGAGAATTATTTTTGTCACAACCTATTCTGTTAGAACTTGAAGCTCCACTAAAAATATGCGGTATGTATAGTTCTTGCAATTCACAAACATTTACTGTTTACATTTGTGTTTCTTTCGAGTTTGTTTGCAATATGTTCTTTTCTTTGTATTTTTGTCATTTTTACATAATGACTTCTATATTTATCTAATAGGTGTGTTTATTTGTTTTTATATTTCAACCTGAATGTTTGAAGTAAACTATATGGAGTCAGACACAAAAAAATCGCCATGTGCCTACTTTTAATAGCTTAGTAATCAGCAATTTAAATTTGTGTTATTTAATTGTAATTATTATCATTTTATTGTATACTTCAGTTTTATGATCTATTCATTCCTGAATAATCAGTTGAAATTCCAGTGAAGAATAGTTATATTCAATACTTAAAGGTTATTTACTGGTTGTTTGAATGTTATTGTTTGTTTCAATCACTTAGTTTAAGGTTTACATGCATTCATAGTTAATTCTTCATTTTGCATGTTCCTTCTTTTAATTTAATATCAAGTCTGTAAAATATTTTGGTTTTATACATTTTTTTAGGTGATATTCATGGACAGTATTATGATTTATTGCGGTTATTTGAGTATGGAGGTTTTCCACCTGAATCAAATTATTTGTTTTTGGGTGATTATGTTGATCGGGGAAAGCAGTCTTTGGAAACTATATGCCTGTTACTTGCGTACAAGATTAAGTATCCTGAAAACTTTTTTTTGTTGAGAGGTAATCATGAATGTGCCAGCATTAATCGGATCTATGGGTTCTATGATGAATGTAAGTGTGATAATTTAACTTTCTGTTCTCACTTTTTGCCTACGTTAGTTTATTTTGGGTATTGTAATATTTTAACTTTATAAGTACATTTTGGATTTTCTTATTAATCTTATAATCCATTTAAGTAATTTAATTGGTTGGACAGTAACATGTTCTGTGATTCTTGATTTTATTTGCTTCAAGTTATTATCTTCCTGTAACTTATTTGAATTGTTATTTATGTTGGTTATGTAGTGTTGCTAAAGTTTATCTTATATTACTAATTTTCTTGGTTCAATGCCTGCATTTGTATTTTATTGGTATACAAATAATTTCAAGATGTATTTAATCTTGTCTATATGGTTAATATAGTTGTAATATCTATTATAAGTAGTTCATTTTTGTTTATAATTTCAATTTTATTATTTTGAAACTATTTTCAAAGTTTTATAAAGTTATCTATCAAAATATAATTAAGGAGCTACAGATTGAATTCTATTTTGTACATTTTCTTACAAAATTCAGTTTGCATTTCGGCAAAATATCTAAATTTTTAATGTTTTGGATCATTTTATTTCTTTTCATTGAATTATAAAATGTATTTTTTTTTTCTGCTAAAGGAATTTTGTCCAGGTCTAAGTGAATGTAGTCAGAAAATGGACAAGACGCAATTAATCAAAAATTGCTTATCTGCAATTAGTTTATATTTTTTTTATTAATTTATTAGGTAAACGTAGGTATAACATCAAACTATGGAAAACATTTACGGATTGTTTTAACTGTTTACCTGTATCTGCTATTGTTGATGAAAAAATATTTTGCTGCCATGGTGGTTTAAGTCCAGACTTACAAAGTATGGAACAAATCAGACGCATTATGCGTCCAACAGATGTCCCAGATCAGGGATTATTGTGCGATCTTCTTTGGTCTGATCCAGACAAGGTATGTTCTCCTTTTATTATAAAAAATATTTATATTCATTCTGTTCATTATGCCTAGATTTGGTGTCTTGATGTCTTCATTTATATAAATTAAGGCTGTTATTCCACCAACATTTTATTTATTTTTCATTCCATCTAGACACCGTTTCGGCCAACACTAGGGCCATTTTCAAGTTTGAGTCCTCCACTAAATTTCCATATTGGATGTCATTTTTCTGAAGAAAAACTGAAATTGTCCAAATATTTAAGGGTTTCCCCTACGTCATCTCTGAAGGAACTGAAATTCAATTTTTTTATGTGTAGTCACAAATCATATATTTGTTTCTTTGAATATGTTCAATATAATAGCAGATGTAATGTTACACGGTGGGCCAGACCCTCTTACCGTGCACCCCTCCCCCCCCCCACATCCCTATAAATTGCATACCGTTGTGGCAGAAAAGCGCTACTGGTGCAGGTTCCTTCAGGCCTCTACCACACCACTCAGTACTCATAAATGGCTTAGTTATAGTGCTATAATAACGTTTTTGTTATATTATATTGATTCTATTAACGAACAAATATTAATACAATAATTTAAATGTAAAAAATTTTTTTTTAAAATTTATTATTATTTTTTTTATTTATTATTATTTTTTTTTAAATTTCACTTCCTTTATTCTATACGGAGGTCCCTTAAGAAGGCCTCTGTTATAAAAATTATGTAATTATAATAATAAAACTTAATTCAAAAATACTTTGCAGAATACCTTGAATTTTTTATTTAATATTTGCAATTTAACATTTTGTTTTATATATTTACTGATTTTTAGAGGTAATTTAAATTGTATATACTTCCCCGGAAACGAGTCATATTAATATCTGTTTTATAAACTAAAATAATATATACCTAATCTGAACTACTTTTAATGAATAGGTGATGGATTGTTTAGTAATATTCATATATCGCTATTAAAAAAATCATTTTTATTTCCTTAATTTTATTCGGAAGTTGGACCATATCATAAAAAATATGAACTTTTAATATTATATGCATTATTCCCTCTGCACAAAATTAGGATGGGAAGGGCGAAGCTATAAATTCTTCTAGGTAACTGGAACTGATTGTTAGTATTTGGTTTCAAAATGAGGGAAAACGCGAAATTTAACCCAAACATTGGAGAAATACATTAAGCGAATGACAAAGGAAGTGCCAAAATTTCGAAAAGAAAACAAGGGTCAGTATCCGTTATATGGCTAAACGAATATATAGTAGACAAATGAACAGAATGTTTCAAGATGCTGCTAAAAGAGGGTCAAAATGCTTGATGAGTTTGGATGATATTAAGCAGGTTTATTATGGTGAAGATCACTTTATCAGCAAGAAGGATTTGTTCTAAGCAATTGGCAAGTCAGCTGGTCTGGACGAAGTAACCCGAAATGCTGTGCTTAAAAAGGCTACAAATGTATTAGAAAATGATATGAAAGGACTTTAGTTTTGTCCCTTTACAGGAAATAAGATACTAGGAAATGTTATTCGAGATTCCTTACTGTTTATAGTATCAAAGAAAGTCTACTCAAGAATCGTAGAAGCTAAAATAAGAAATATTGTCGATGGTCTGAGCGATATGGATTGAGAAACTCAAGTTGCACATTAGAACATAAATTGCAAATTGGGACTGCCTTCACTTTAAGGTAGGTTATAGAGAAGTCCACAGATAAAGAAAAATGGTTCTCTATCTGCTTAGTGCCTCACACTTTGGATTGATCAAATATCTACTAGTCTTTCACAAAAACTCGTTTTCCTTTCAGATTCCTTCAAAAATCTTTTGCAATTGCACTTAGCAGGAGGAGAGCTATTTTCCTTTATCAATAGACCTCTCTATAACCTGCTTCAGAGTGAAGATAGTCCCAATGTACAACTTCAATAGCAATCTAAAATAAAGTGGTTTACACCATTATAAACCTAGTTTACTTCCTCCAGACCTGCTTGCCAATTGCTTAGAACAAATCTTTCTTGCTGATAAAGTGGTTTTCACCATGATAAACCTGCTTAATATCATCCAAACTCATCAAGCATTTTGACCCTCTTTTAGCAGCATCTTGAAATATTCTGTTCATTTGTCTACTATATATTCGTTTAGCCATATAATGGATACTGATCCTTGTTTTCTTTTCCGAAATTTTGGCACTCTGTCGTTCGCTTAATGTATTTTTCCAATGTTTGGGTTCAATTTCGCGTTTTCCCTCATTTTGAGACCAAATACTAACAATCAGTTCCAGTTACCTAGAAGAACTTATAGCTTCGCCCTTTCCATATTTCATTTGTGCAGAGGGAATAATGCACTTTAATATTAAAAGTTCCTATTTTTTATGATATGGTCCAACTTCCGAATAAAATTAAGGAAATAAATATGTTTTTTTAATAGCGATATATGAATTTTACTAAACAATCCATCACCTATTCATTAAAAGTAGTTCAGATTAGGTATATATTATTTTAGTTTATAAAACAGATATTAATATGACTCATTTCCGGGAAGTATATACAATTTAAATTACCTCTAAGAATCAGTAAATATATAAAACAAAATGTTAAATTGCAAATATTAAATAAAAAATTCAAGATATTCTGCAAAGTATTTTTGAATTAAGTTTTATTATTATAATTATATAATTTTTATAATAGAGGCCTTCTTAAGCGACCTCCGTATAGAATAAAGGAAGTTAAATTAAAAAAATAATATAATAAATAAAATAAATAATAATAAATTTAAAAAAAAATTTTTGACAATTAAATTATTGTATTAATATTTGTTCGTTAATACAATCAATATAATATAACAAAAACGTTATTATAGCACTATAACTAAGCCATTTATGAGTACTGAGTGGTGTGGTAGAGGCCTGAAGGCACCTACGCCAGTAGCGCTTTTCTGCCGCTTATAGTACATTTTCTACGGAACTACTTCAAATATTTTAAAAAGTAATCAGTGTTTTAGAAAGAGAAATGTATTCTCCAGATGTTTTATTTCAGCACGTTTTGCATTATTGTTGACCGTTTAATTACAAACGACGCCTGATTTTCAACTTGAAAATTTTTTTGTAAAAATAATTGATGTTGGGACGCCATTTTGGGGCAGTTCGTTCACTTTTTTTTGTGGAAACATTGGCTTTTTTTTAATTAATTGTCACAAGGAACATAACGATATGCAATTTATAGGGATGTAGGGGGGGGGGAGTGCACGGTAAGGGGGCCTGGCCCACAGTCTATGTAGTTTGGAGTGGGTGGAACATATGTTGTATTTTTTCTATTATTATTTTTTAATTATACAGATATTTACCAGAGATCAAATCGAAAAGAGAAGAACTTGTGATGGCTACCTGCAACACAATTAATATTTATTTATTGTTTAATTTGTGTTCTTTCATTTTATCCTGCTTTGTAAGCCTTCATAAAAGCTATAAAAACTAGATACAAGTGGTATAAAAAATAAGTAAAAATATAGTGGTACCACTTATTAGGTCCATTTCTAGAATAAAGTAAAATTAATATGAATAATATCAGTTGACAATAGTATACATAATAAATAATTTTAAATCATAAATGTACATAAGTTTTACAAAACTGAAAATAGAAGAAATACCCTGTATCATTGTGGAATGATATTAGGAATGTAGAGGTATTTTAAGTATGCCTAAAAATAGAAAGTTAACATTTAATAAAATAATAACAGCTTCAATAAAAGTGTTTATAACATTAGTATGATTTTTATGTTATTATTATTACATCTCTATCTGTTTTTATTATTCTATTCAATGTTAACTTATTGTTATCATTTATGTCTAGAATCTCCTTCTCCTTATTACCGCTTACCTTAACATATATCATTTTTTTTTTTTAGTATTATATTACTTAGATTGTAAGATGTGTATTCTATTTAGTTTAATCATACATTACTGCCTTATTTCTCTTATATTACGTTTGTTCTTGTAGATAATGCTCACTAGAATTTCCAAAGTTTGACTTGATATACAGGGTGTCCCAAGTAGTAAGTAGAGGAAATTATTTAAAAGGTTGATATTAGACCTCAAGATCTACAAAAAAAAATAACAAACAATTGCTCAATTTCCAGCAGAAAAGTAGGAAATTTAAGATTTGTGTTTTTTTAAGCCAGTCACATTTTTTGTTGAACGGGAAATGATAATTTAAAAGATCAAACACTGCTCCATAGTAAACTTGACAAAATTTACTTTAAGCGGAAGTAGATTTTGTCATTGTTAAAACTATTTAATGAGGATCATTGAGCGGGCAAACACAGCTAAGTTCTGTTTGAAAAAAAAGTCATAAATTATTTGTGATTTTTTCATCACCCTTAAACTTTACTACATTTACCCCACTTTTAGAAAACTTCCTCATTCAATAAGCTTTTAATTCATATTAATTAAGTTGAGGTTTATTAGGCAATAACTTCAGTATACAAAAATTATGTGATTTTCTATCCTGTCACATTAAAGTACCTGTGTTTTCAGCAAAAATGACTACAATTAACTGTTGAATAGTTTTTATTTCTTGTTTTTCTTCGATATGGGATGTAATGTAATAAACATAATTGTCTAAAAACACATTTTATTTATAAACATAAAAAATAATGATTTTTCAAATATTTTTCATGTGAGGTGGTTATGAAATTTAAAGCTCATCCAACAACAGTTCAATAGGGTCGAGATCAAAGGATAGAGGTGGCCATGCCATGTATTTAGGTACTTAAGTTCTCCCAAAGAATGTTTCGGATCATTATCCAGCTAGAAAACAAATCCTTGAAACATAATTCTCTGCCCATTCTCCCATTCTGCCCATTCTCTGCCCATATGGAAAAATTTGCTTGTTTTGTTTTCTTAATAAGGTTTTTTTTTATCAGCTACATTGCTTTTTAATCCATAATCACGAAGTTGATGTTTCATAGTACTGACAAGTACAGCCTTTGGTCTAATGCATTAACTTCTTCGCGAATTTCTGGC